TTTCTTTTTCTTTTTCCTTGTGTACCCTTCCTTCCTTAGAACTTCTCACAGAGATTTCTGAAGCAACTTTTTATAGTACTTGGGTTTGAACTTAGGGCCTCAAACTCACTTGGCTTGCTTGCTTGGCTGGTGCTCTACCACATGAGCCATGCTTTTAGCTCTGCTTTTTGATGGCTATGGACTTATAGATTCATGGTCTTTTCTGCCTGGGCTGGCTTCAAACTGTGATCCTCCAGATCTCCAGCTCCTGAGTAGCTAGAACGACTGGCATGTTTCCTGGTACTCAGTTTTGGAATCACTTTTTTAAGTCAATAATATACATTATTAGATACACAGTGTCATATATCACGTATGTACCTATACATAGCCATTCAAAAAGATGCAGGTATAGGCAGTTATTTGAAATCTATCCTTTCAATTTTAAATATAAAAAAGTGGGCTGGGATGTAGCTCAGTGGCAAAGCGCTTGCCTAGCAAGTGCAACGTCCTGGGTTCGATCCCCAGTACCAAAAAAGAAAAAGACAAAAAAATTAAATATAAAAAAGTTTTATATCTTGGACCTCCAATTATGTGTAAAAACAGTATAGACAGAATGATCTTAGAACCCTCATCATCTTATTTATATGGTGGACTAGACAAGGTAGGAAAGGTCACCTTTACCAGCTGTGAAATTATAACTGAGCTATCTCTATGTAATCTCCTATCATTATTAGCTTTTCATAATTTTTTAGTATAAGTTCCCAGGCAAGAAAGCCCACGAAACTCTCATCTCCAGGTAACAATCCAATAAGCCAGACCTATGGCCCAAGTGGTAGAACGGTAGTCGAGCAAAAAACCTCAAGGGTAAGTGCCTAGCCCTTGAGTTTAAGCCCCAAGATTCCCCCCTACCCCGTGCATGCGTGCGTACATGCACGCACGCGCGCAAACACACACACACACAAAATGAGAAAAAAAAATCTGAATGAGAATACCTGAGCTCCACCCTTACGAAGACATCTGGCTCTTAATATTAAGTGAACATATCTTTAAAAAGACTATCCTTCTTCCTAAACTTACACATTTTCTAGTTCTCCAAGATTCTAGTTTCTGTTGGAAAAGAAGAAATTGGGCTCTTTAGAAATCATTATGTGGCAGCAAGCTTTCTGGCTGCTGAGGAGAAGCATGAGCCCAGACATAGCAGCTGGAGCTGCAATGCCTAGCTCCCAAGAAGAGCTGCCAACAATTACTGTGTGTCCTTTTGTTCCATCCTCTGGCTGGCTGGCCACTCATCCATCCATCCATCTGGTCAGGTAAATGCTGGTGAAGATCAGGGTTCTCACAGCTCATAATACCCTTTCTTCAGAGAAACACTGACATGGAACTATTTAAATTCAGTTAATATTCCTACTTCAACTAATTTGGCAGAGTAAATTATGTTCACAAACCAATATATACCCTGATTGTCCAATGTAACTGCTTATCTACACACACACACACACACACACACACACACACACACACACACACACACACACACACACACACACACACACACACACAATGTCTGTACTATGCTTTTCTTTGATCTTCAAAATGTTTTGTAGGTTGAAATCTATGGCACTCTAGGCTACTTAGAATGTCAGACACATATGCTAAAGAGCTTGCACGGGGGCTGGGAAGGGAGACAGACAGAAAGGCAAAGTGGAACAAAATATAAGCACAGGCACCTTCCCCCTTGAAATGAACCATGGTATCCAACAAGTGTTAGTTAAATGAGCCACTACCATATGCTCAACACTGTAAGGCATGTGGAGATGACAAAACACATTCTTGATCTGCTTTAAATCTGGTGAAAGAGTCCGAGGGTGTGTGGGTATCTGGCATCTGGAAGAGAGCAATCCTGAGAGGTAAGAGAAACTTCTAGAGGAAGACAATCTAAGAGGAAGACATGCTTGGGAATACAAGGGTATAAGAAGTACTCATAAAAGGAGAGGGAAACACAATCACTAACTTGAGAGAATCTACAACCACGGTCGTTCTCAAAAGTGTGGGCTCCAGCAGCAGCAGCACCCAGGAGCTTATTAGACATGCAAATTCCCAGGCCTGCCTGGGAATTAGCAACCTACTGAGTAATTGCAAGGTAAGATTGCGGGAGTCCTGAGTCTTTCTTCTCTCCCCTCCCCTTTTACAAATGAATCTTTCTTCTCTCCCCTCCCCTTTTACAAATGAATGCCTTTGGGACTGGGCAGCCACCAGGTGAGTGGCTGGGAGCTGGCCACCTTTTCCCAGACTGCTCAGATGACAGGGATGGATAACATGTCCATATGTGCAAATGGAGCCAGCAACTTGAGGGGATGTGAGTATTTGGGATAGATTGTGTGTGTGTGTGTAGAAACAATGAAAAAAAGAGGTGACACATCAAAATACATGGTACTCATAAATTGCTATGTTGACTTGAAATCCCTCTGTACAGCTACTTACAGATAATAAATAATAATAATCAAAAGATAAAAGAAGTTGTATTTTCTACTGGTGTTTGTACAGAGTCCCAGTGTGTACCCCCCTTGGCTGCCCACCTTCTGACACATGGATTTGACAAGTATAAACTGAGAAGAGCTCAGCAGATGCAGGAGGCAAATGGAACCTGTGTGGGCTCCAAGGGAAGCTGCGGAGGTGCTTCCCCTGGCCTGCAAAGCTGACTCCATCCTACGACAAGAGGGCTGAGAGCAACTCTAGGAGACGAGGAAGCGGTGAGAATTCCACTTCTCTTTCCCTTAGATCAATAACACAAAGGGCAAAAGTAATGTTTTGGGAACTTACTGTGTTCATTGAAATGGGTGTAGCCCCTGGGGACTTTGTGCTCATGTCAAGGATGTGTGAGCCCATGTGAGCAGCACCTGATTCACTCGTCATTCTGTACTTGGGCAGCAGGTATTTCACATGCAGGCATGGGGGTGTTCCCTATTCTGGCTGGGATGACAATCATAGGTCTCTCAATCATCTGCATCTTGAACTGCTTCCATATTTGGGCAACTGGGAGTGGTGGGCTAATGTTAAAAGTAAATGATCATAGAAATACGATATTGTGAGGTTTTTCACTCATTTGTGAAACATAGACTTAAAAGACATGCATATTCATGGACATACATACATATATGTATACATAATCATGTATGGCTATAGAACATGAGTCTACCTAAGGAATTATGTAGGAGAAAAAAGGAAAGCAAGAAGCAAAAAAGAAAGATAGGTGAATAATTTTGAGATACACACCAACTATATATAAAAACACCATAAAAGAACCTCAGTGAAAGCTGCTGATCAACAAGGGGTCAGGGAGGAGTAAGAGAAACAGGCTCTCTTAGGAGGTACTCATTGTACTAATGAGAGTGTTTTGGGCTAATAAGGGTGGAAGAAATGGATATTGTTGAAATAGTTTGTAATCAAATACAAAAACAAAACAGAGGAACCTCTTGAAATTATATTAGAAGGGGGACTGAAGAGCAGGGGGAATGATATAAGGGGAAAATTGATTGTATTCATGCATGGAAATTTTACAATGGAGTTCTCCCCCCCCCCCCCCCACCGTTGTATAGCTAATATGTTAATAAAAAAGACAGAGCATTTTTAAAAGAAGTAAATGAGCCATGTTACAACACAAGATGAACAGAGGATGTCACTCTAGGTGAAATAAGACAGTCATTAAAAAAAAAAGACAAACACTATGTGGTTCCACTTCTGTTGAGGGATCTGGAGGTCACATTCATAGACACAAAGTAGACTGGTGGCCACCAGGGCTATGGGGAGGGGAAATAGCTACTGTATAATGGGTACCGAGATGCAGTTTTCAAAGGGGAAAAGAGTCCTGACAACGGTCACACAGCAGTATGAATGTGCTCAATACCATTTAGATAGTGCACTGAAAATGGCTATGAAGGTAAATGGCACATTATTGTACCAAGGTTTAAAAATATTAAGTAAACACTCTTCTTGTCTTATTGTAGTGTACACAGTGTGATAGGTAGCAATAAAAAGACAATGTCATTGATTTACAGGCATGAGAATCTATGCTTAGGACAGGTAGAGAAAGTGAGGTGATAGAGACAGGAACTTTGCCAAGACTCACAGTCCTCTGAAGTGAGATGAGTTTCAAACCTGGAGGTCTGCCTGACCTGAACATGAGAGTTCAAAAGCCCCGCCCAATTCTCACTACACAGTTCACTTGTAAGAACAAGAATGCAGTGTGTTAACACGTACACATAAAGACCTCTGGGGGGGGGGTCACTGTTTTGCTCTAGTGGGTCACATCATCATGTACAGGGTATATGTGCAATGACAGAAAGTTCCAGCAATAAACTTTTTAGAGAGAACGCAACAGTTTCTTGCTCTTCGGTGGGTATCTATCCCATGTCAATCTCATGCTATTAGCTCTGATTTCACTTTCCTAAAACATGTATCCAGTTTTCATTTTGCTAGCTACATGTCAAATGCATGCCGGAAAAAGTCATGTCCCTAGATTTTAGGGGTCTTAGAGCTCAGAGACACTAAGAAAATCTCTTCCACTTCAGCTCCAGGGTTCCAGGACAGGCTAGATACCAAAAGGCCAAACACCCACAGAGAGAGGGTCAGGGTGCACATCTGCAAGTGAACTGTGCATACCCATGGATACCTAAGACCAGTAGGTCATCTAGAGGATTTCTAGAGGGCTGCTGCCCTTGCTCTAACCAAGCCCAGGGAAATGTCCTGTGTATGAACAGGGCCTAGATGCTGGCTTCTCAATCTACCTGTACTGATGCTGAAAACCAAACTGTTAGCTCCTGACCTTGCCTCCCTTCCTACCCCAGACAGCAACAGCTGGCATCATCAGATTATTTTGCTAGAGAGTAGAAAAGGGAAGTTGATCCCCACTCTCCTCCCTCTCCTTCCCTCCCTTTCAAAGTCTACAGCCCTCAAACCCAGGTCCCATATGTCCGGGGTCTGCCACATGCCTGACCCCACTTCCAATAAGAATGAAGCACTACCTGGTGTGGGTCAGCGGACCCACTGGTCGCTCCGGCCTTTTCGGAGGCAGCGCACTAGGTCTGCTAAGAGAATTGCTCTTAGGTGGTCGAGGTTTTTTTGGTGGGATGGCAGGAACCGAGGGCTTCTGCAAATCCAGTTTTGGCTCTCTCTCTGGTCTTTCTTTAAGTCATTGACAAAACATCAAGAAAACAGAGAGGCAGTATAAGTGACAATACTTAGATGCAAATGGTGAATGCTCCTGCTTTTAAATAAATTACTGATGCCATTTCTAAAGGTGAGGTTGGTAAAGAGCAGCAATTATACTCTCCTTCCCATGCTTTTGCTTATGCTGAGTCGTCTGTCTGGAGTGACATTTTGGCCCCTGTAACGCCCCCTTCCCCACGCCTACCAGCTTCTACTCTCCTTTCAAAGCCTGGCTGAAAAGTGACATTGTCATTTTCTCTCCTTTTCAGAACACTGGAGAGCAGCCCTAAATACATAGGCCTTCTGGGGGTATTTATGCTCAGCACAGACCCAGGCTGCCGGCCTCCAACAGCAGGACTCATGTCTGCTCATTTCCTTAAGAGCCTATACAGTGCTGGTGCATGGCAGATGCTTAGCAGATGGTTGATGGGTTTGATAAATGGCCCACAAGAACCGCTGCTGGGTGTAGAAAGGGAATAGGCCTGGTTCTTCTCATGTTATCCTCTGAAAAGGGTATGAGCCAATGAAAGGGGGAGCATTTCAGGGACTAATTTGTTCAGGATTTTCTTTGTGCACAGTTTGAACTTGGGACTTCTGGCATATTTGGTTTCCAAAGCTTTTTGGAGTCAGAGTTATTGAGATCTGATGGCTAAGCTGGGCTGTGCTAAGTGATGGCATCAAGTTTTCTGTTCTCCACTCACCTCATCCCACATGTGGTGCAAACAAAAGAAGCACACATCCACAACCTTCTTACTAAAGATGGGTTCGCAGAGTTGCCCATTGGAGTACAAGTAAGGTTCTCTGTGTTCACTTGAGTGAACAGCTTTTACAGTCATTTGGGGCCCTACATCAATTAGCAAAAATTTTAAGAACTCTATCAAGTATCCTTGTGCTTTTCCTTCTGATGTTTCTGTGGGAAAATGCACACTAACCAGGAATGCTAGGAACACATTTTCTTTAAGGATGATATCTAGAGCTCAGCTGAAATGCAGAGGTGACTTCTCTTACAAGGACAGGAACTCTGGCAACTTGCTGGATGAATGGGAGAGGGAGCTGGAGCTGACCTCCCAGGGACAAGTCTCTGGGCAGTACTGGTTTTTCTGACTTCTCTTCTATTTTTGACCAGAAATGGGTTAGGGCTTCTGCCTCCCTGGCCTATTATCCTAGAGAAAACAGAGACTCATGGGAGGGGAGTGGGGGGGGGGGGGGGGAAGAAGCAGGAGTTACATAGCCACTTGGCCAGCCAAGGAGTGTGGCTGTTCACATGTTATCCTCGAGGTTAGTCAGCATGGACTAGTGTAGGAAGCATGCACATCACGGAACCTGGCTAGTACCTAGTACTGAGACACTAGTCACGTATCCTCCATGAGGTCAGGTGATTGTGTTTGGTTATTTCAGAATGCACGCTTTTATCAAAAAGTAATTGGTAAGCATACATTCCATTGCTAAGTTTTTTCTGCTCAGTGACACAGATTCAGCCTTCACAACTTCACAACTTGGCCTTCACCACACTGCAAAGGTAATAGGTGAAGGTTCTTAATAGCTTGCAATGTTGGTAAAACTTTTAGCAGGCTGTTATGAAATATTAAACTTCACCATAAAATTTCATGAGGCCACTGAGGAGTATCTCTAAATAATTATATTCATTATTTCAGTATTTCTCTTGTGACTTCAAAATAACTGCTTTTTAAAATGGAATTTGCTTGGCCTCCTGTTTATAATAATAGCATAGCACTTTCCCCATAAAATGTGTGATCAATCAAATCTTGGGCACCTAATAAAATGAGTCCTTCCATAGCATGCAGATTTCTCTAGAAGAGACACTCAGAATGGTGGGAATCAAGCACATTTGTAAACCTGACTATGTGAGATTTAAACCACTTCACTGCCAATGACATTTCTGACCACTTTCAGGAAACTCCCAAGTACTGGGTTGCTTTTCCTCAGTATTTTCATGCTATTCTCCCTCTCCTCAAAGATATGGGCATATGGGCTGGGAAGGTGGCTCAGTGGTAGAGTGCTTGCCTTGCATGCATGAGGCCCTGGGTTCAATTCCTCTGTACCACATAAGCAGAAAAAGCTGGAAGTGGTGCTGTGGCTCAAGTGGTAGAGCACTAGCCTTGAGCTGAAGAGCTGAGGGACAGTGCCCAGAGTTCAGACCCCATGAACAGCAAAAAAAAAAAAAAAAAGATATGGGCATATAACACATGTCCCAGCAGTGGTTGAGGGAGAAGGTTTTCATCTATCTGGATAGGATGTTTGCTAAGCCAAGTCCATCTATTACCATTCAATGAGCACTGAGGGCACTGAGATCAGGGGGAGGGACTTGGGAGGAGACTGTTAAATACTTTGGGCCCTCAAAGAACTTATAGTTCACCAACATCAGGGTGTGTGGCAAAGTGGTGATGGCAGGGATGTTGCTGAAGAACCTTAATGTGTTGAGATTGGGCTAACTGGTTTTCATTTGATGAGAGACTATGGCCCTAAATAGTGTCACATAACCTTCCTCTAGTTCCTTCGGAACAAGCTGTTTAGAAATAATCTAAACAAACCTACAATATCACCATATTCCAAAGCAAAAGCACATTCTGTGGAATCTGGACTAATGCCATGCAGCAGTCTCATGTCTTGTTACTCTAGAAGTGCCAACAAAGAATTGAATTGATACCTTTCTCTTCTGTTCTGTTTGGAAGGGTTTCTGGTCTTTCAGGAGGTATCTTCTTCATTTCATGTTTTCTCTCCGTGGTACCTAGGTGGTGAAGGATAATACAGATCAGAAGATACTTTCTTATTCCTTGGGTCCAGTCATGGGGCTTGAACTCTGGGCCTGGGTGCTGTCCCTCAGCTCTTCAGTTCAAGGCTAGCATTCTACCACTTGAGCCACAGTGCCACTTCCGGCTTTTTATTTTTCTGCTTATGTGGTGCTGAGGAATCGAACCCAGGGCCTCATGCATGCAAGGCAAGCGCTCTACCACTGAGCTACCTTCCCAGCCCCCAGAAGATACTTTCTTTATTCATGTATTCATATGTGTGTGTGTGTGTGTGTGTGCACACTATTTGCATATTTTTAACTTTTTAATTTCTTATTGTAAAGGTGATGTACAGAGGGGCTATAGTTATCTACATCAGGTAATGAGTACATTTCTTTATGAACAGTGTCATTTTCTCCCAGTTTTTACCTACCCAACTCCCCTTCATCCCAATTTGTATAGTTCATTTCCAACATATTCATGTATTAGACATACTAGTATTTAAACATTTATGAGGTATTGTGAAAGTGTTGGATGTTTTGTTCCCTATGATGTATGTATACTAGTGTTACTAGGCTAATACGTGTTGCTTAGAAAGGCTAATATGTGTTGCTCAGAAATACAACAGAAGTAATTTTCAGTCTATGTCACTAAATTTGTTTGCCTATCCAGCCTTAATTCCGAAGAACATCACTAATTATTTTCTGATATTTTAGAGCTGGCTTCCTGAGGGATAAAAATATTTATAAGACATCACTGAGTGTGGATGGGAAACGTGTCGAAATAAATAAGTTACTCATCAAAAGATACAAATAAGCTGGACACTGTGACTCATATCTGTCATCCTAATTACTTGGAAGACTAAAATTTAGATAACTGTGGTTTGAGTACAACCAACGAGACCCTTTCTCAACCAATAGCTAGATATGATGGCTCACACTTGTCATACCAGCAATGTGGGAGGTTGAGATTGGAAAGATCATGGTTTTCAGGCCAGCCCAGGCAAACAAATCTGTGAATTATGTCTCAGTGGAAGAATGGGCATGGTAGTGCACAACTTTTCATACCAGCTAGAGCAGAAAAAAACAGAAGGATTGTGGTCCAGGTATGCACCTAGGCAGGAAGTGAGACCCTTTCTCAAAAAGCAATACAAAAAAGAGCTGCAAGCATGGCTCAGGGGTAGAATACCTTCATTGCAAGCACAAAACTCTGAGTTTAGGGCTGGGAAGGTGGCTCAGTGGTAGAGTGCTTGCCTTGCACGCATGAGACCCTGGGTTCGATTCCTCAGCACCACATAAGCAGAAAAAGCCAGAAGTGGCACTGTGGCTCAAGTGGTAGAGCGCTAACCTTGAGCTGAAGAGCTGAGGGACAGCGTCCAGGCCCAGAGTTCAGGCCCCACGACTGACAAAAAACAAAAACAAACAAAAAACCAAAAAACAAAAAGACCTCTGAGTTCAAACCCCAGAACCACAATTTTTTTTTTACAAATAAGGGGTCATTGGATATTATATTATGTTATACAAATAAAAAAGGGAGTTCACAAGGACCTTGATTCCATCTTGTAGCCATTATAAAATAAGGTCTGGAATTGTTGGATACCCCTCTCATTAAGAGGTGATATTTATATGCCCTTGTTCAGAGTGTGGCCAGGTTTGGAACTCCTTCGACCAGTGACTTCTTCTAAGGCCTAGAGGACATGAAGCTTATACTTTATTTGTTGGAATACTGGTTTAAAATGCAAGCAATAGGATGTGGGACATAATTTTAAACTGAGGGATATGCAGATACGTTACAGTGTTTCTCCTTCAATCCTTTCTCTCAAGTATGAGATTATCCAAAATATATCACTTGGTATTTCATCTTTACCTACATAGACTGAAACTGTTTCCTCACCTGAGGTCCTCATAGGTTCACTAGCCTCAAGTTTGTAAGATCACTTTGGAAATAGATAAAGCACAAAGCACGCTATAAATGTATAGGTTTGCTTGGTGCTTGACAAACATCTCATATGATCAGTCTCAAAGATGAGTACTTGGCACTAAAAGCTCAATTAGACTGTCTCAGATGCCAAAATATTTTTTGGTGCCAAAAAATTTGAAGGGTGGTCTTTGAACTAAGGGCCTTGAAGTGGTGGCCTTTTCTGCTCATGGCTAGTGCTCTGCTACTTAAGCTGTGCCCCTACTTCTGGCTTTTTTTGCTCGTTAATTGGAAATAAAAATCTTTTGGGTTTGGTCTGCTTGGGGTGGGGTCAAAACATGATCCTCAGATCTCAGCCTTCTGAGTAGCTAGGATTATAGGTGTGAGCCACTGGTGCCTCACAAGAATTTTTATTTTTTATTCCACTGAACACATATTTCATCTGAGTCCTTTTAATGACTCACTATAAATTAAATACTGTACTGCATCTGATTTATACCAATTACATACTTGGGGTTCTTTTGGTAAAGGAAAGTTGGTAATGGGGAAAATATTATCATCTCCTCCTTATCATAAAGCAGTTTTTTCCAAGATCCTTTAGCATGATAAATGAGCAGTATTTATTTATCACACACAAGTCATCTTGCTTTACAGGCAGAAATTCATCACAAACATTGTTAAAATTGTTTCAAAAGAGTAGGAGTTTGCCTACCTTGCCTCAATATGGTCTCCTAATGATAAAGAACAAACTCACTGCCATTCCGAGAGACACAGATAGACCATTGGTCTATCTTAAATAATCTTCTTCTAGTTAGTGTATTCTAGACTGCCTGAGTATTGGACTGCTTGATTCACCCCCTTGGACTCCAACTGGCTGTCAAGGCCTCTTGGGAAAGGGGTCTTCAGAGAAGAACACATAAATAGCCTGCTTTAATCTCAGCACAATAAAATATTTATATAGCCAGAACCACTAGGTGGCAAAATGGAACTGTTCAATGCCAACAGGAATGGGGGCGGAGCAGGAGAGGAAATTAACACTCGATTTCAGGGCTTAAGCTCTGCAATTCCCAATTATGCCCAAGGGAATTGGAGAAGAATGGGGGATCAAACTGGGCTTCCCCACTCCCAAAACTGGCAGGCCAAAACAAGTTTGAAAACATTTATGAACAAACCAATCTAGAAAACTCCTCATACTTTAAAGTGTTACAGAAACATAATTGTCTAAAATTATTTCTGCTCTTTTCCTCTTTAAGTTGTTTTACAAGTTTTTTTTTTTTTTTGTCGGTTGTGGGGCTTGAACTCTGGACCTGGGCGCTGTCCCTCAGCTCTTCAGCTCAAGGTGAGAGCTCTACCGCTTGAGCCACAGCGCCACTTCCTTGTTTTACAAATTTTATTAATGGATATGAATTGTATAAAATAATGGGTTTCATTATGTCACTTTTGTACACTTATATACTTTGATATATTCACCTCTTTGCATCTTCTTTTGTCCCCTTCCCCTACTTAGGTGTTACTTTTCTAAAATGCCACTTTACTAGTTATTCATGGAAGAAATTTCTTCTCACAAAAAGAGAAATTAAATTGGGAAATATATGAGTCATCTCATAGGTTCTTTTTTTTTTTGTCAGTTGTGGGGCTTGAACTCAGGGCCTGGGCGCTGTCCCTGAGCCTCTTTGTGCTCAAGACTAGCGCTCTACCACTGAGCCAAAGCGTCACTTGCAACAAGTCATCTCTATAGGAATTCACTGTGCAATGAATTATGCAATGTCTAATATCGTTAATTTTTCCTGGATTATTCCATCTTAATATCTGAACTACATAGAAAAAGTAAACTGAACTCTTTCCAAGACTAAAAGATGAATCAGGAGGAACACTATTTATGTCTAGAAAAACATCTTTTCATGGGGGGTAGGGGAGGAGGTTAAGTGAAGGAAGTGCAAATTTGGGATAACCAAAGGGGGACAGGCATTGAAAATCCAGTAATGTGGGGGAAGCTGTTCTCCTCCCTAAGCGGGCCTGCAATCTAGCACAGGTGAAGAAAGAGGGACAAGGACAGCTTCTCTCCTTAAGAGCAGTTTGTTCCAACAAACAAAACCGGTTCCTTCAAAAATGCTTCCTGGCCATTCTCATTAGGAGCCTCAATTTTTACACTGTATCAAGGATTCATTTTGGTAATTTTTTGTTTGTTTGCTTTTTTAAAGAGAAACAGTAGTATATTTAAAACCTGCCTGCTGAGACCACATAAGCTCCCAATTTGGCAATCTGTGGTATCTGAATCCAGGAATCTTGAGCTCTGTCAAGGAAAATTTGAATATAGGCAAAAGAAAGATGAACTCTTTATTTGGTGGAACTGCAAAGTACATTACCTGCCCCTTGTTTCATGATAGGAGCGGATGGAGGAGGTGGTTTCTTGGGCCTCTGAAAAATAATCAAAATTAAACCACATGAGACAATGTTGGCAAGCTGTCCTCTCACAGAAGGACCACAGACATTGTTTTCTATGTGCATTGTGGACAATTTAGAGAACCTTTCCAAAAAATTGAGCAATTCTCTCTCCAGGGACGCCAGCTTTTGGCACCTCTAAAAAAAACACTAAAATAAATTCAGTCGGCAAAACAAAACTGATCGACAAATGAAACACCATTTCCCCATTTCTAAATTTGTAACAGCCTTCTGGAAAAGCACGGCTCAGCAAAAAATGGCCTGAAACCAGCCAGCACAATGGTACTCCTACGCTGAAACTGCATTTGCAATTAAGATTGAATCTGCTGAATAACCAAGCAATTCAACCAGAGTCACTGTGAAGAGAAGACTCAAAATCCGATCTACTGTGGATGGGGGGAACCTTTAACAAAATGCAGGCTAAGAGTCCACTGCAGCCAGCCAGGTCCTAAGCTTCTGTCTCCTTCTATGCTGAGTCAGATAGGCCATTTGTGAGGTCATCCATGAGCCAGTTGTCCCCTGTCACATGCAATAAGCTGAAACCGAGAGTCTCCCTCTCTCTTAGTTTATTTATTTTTAATCATCTTTCCAAATCAGCTGCTATTTTGTTTTTCTCTCATACAGTCACTCTGTATGTGATGGAAACAGTAATGCAATCAATGGTATTCATCTCTGAACTGGTTCCAGGGTAGCCAGGGACTTCCTTGTCACCCAAGATGGCCTGCAGGAAGGAGATGGATGGATGATTCAGTGGTTGGAAAATTCAGCCAGAGCATCATCTTGGAAAGCCAAAGTGCAAAAGGGCGGGGCTGGGGGTGGTGGTCAAGGGCAAGGGGAGAGCATGCGCATGTCACAATCAAGGAAGTATGGGAATGGGGAGGGTTGGAGCACATGATCTATGTGGCTGCCAATACTTCTCCTTACCTTTTCTGGGCATCATAGACTTGTGATTTTAAGAAAGCTCCATGGAGTATCATCTCTTCCCCCAGAAACATACTACTGTGCCATTACTAAAGGGAGCAGCAAAGGTACATGCCCAGTCCCGACTATTTTTTAACTTTGAATCCCTTATTTGTACTTACTATGGTCCTAAGTTAGCACTCTATCTTAGGCTATTATACAGGGCTTTATTTTTGAATTTTTCTTTATTTCAGCTAAACTTTTTTTTTGGCCAGGGCTAGGGTTTGATTTCTGGACCTGGGTGCTGTCCGTGAGCTCCTTTGTTCAAGACTCGCACTCTACCACTTGAGCCACAGCACCACTTCTGGCCTTTTCTGAATAGTTATTGGAGATCAGAGTCTCATGGACTTTCCTGCCTGGGTTGGCTTCAAACTGCAATCCTCAGATTTCAGCCTTCTGAGTGGCTAGGATCACAGGCATGAGCCACTGGCACCAGGCTCAGTTAAACTTTTTATTGTGAAGAAGTCATTGTAGATTCTTTTTAAAAATTACAGACAAGTCTGCACATCCTTTACCCAGCCCCTGGCTCTATCCCATGGTTATATCTCACAGAACTACAGTGTGGTATTTGGCAACAAAACATCAATACAGTCTTTTTAGTATTATTCCAATTTGCTGTTTTACTAATACCTGTATATACATTGAGCAACTATGTTATGATAAAGTCAGGAGAAGAAAACAGGTATCAACTTGCAGCTAATGCTTTAATCTCAACTATGCTACAATATTTAAAAGAAAGAGAAAAAGATGGTAAATAAATAAATTTGGATTGGGCAAGGTAGCATGTCTATAACCCTAGCAATAAGGAGGTGGAGGCAGAAGGATCATGAGTTTGCAGCAAAGCCTGGGCTACACAGTCGAGATCCTGTCTCGAAAAATAAAAAAAAGAAGTAAACTTGAAGTGTTGATCTCTGACTAGTAGGATTATGAATGTATATGACTATGAGTGTATGTTTCCTCCTTAATGTTTTTCTGTATTGTTTATATGAGTACAGACATATTTTATTATAAAAAAGCAAGCTAGGCAGGCACTGAGACACATGTCTGTAATCCCAGTTACTAAGGAGATAGAGAATGGGAGGATTGTGATTTGAGGATAGCCAGGGCAAAATGTTTCTGAGATCCTCCACCCCCATCTTAACCAGCAGTTGGGTGTGGTGGTATATGCCTGTCATCACAGCTATGGTAGGAAACGTAAATAGGAAGATTGTGGTCCAGGATAGCCAGGGCAAAAAAGTGAAACCTTATCTCAAAAATAACCAGTGCAGCTGGGCGCTGGTGGCTCATGCCTGTAATCCTAGCTACTTAGGAGGATAAGATCTGAGGATCCAGGTTCAAAGCCAGCCCGGGCAGGAAAGGCCATGAGACTCTTATCTCCAATAAACAACTCAGAAAACCAGAAGTGGCACTATGGCTCAAGTGGTAGAGCGCTTGCCTTGAGCTGAATTGCTGAGGGACAGCATTCAGGCCCAGAGTTCAAGCCCCATGACCACCACCACCAACAACAACAAATAAACCAAGTGCATTTTTAAAAAAAGTGCTGGAGATATGGTTCAGGAGGTAGAGTGCCTGCCTAGTAAGCTTGAAGCCTTGAGTTAAAAAAACTGCATCTCCCTCCCCACTAAAAGGAGCCTCCTCCCATTGCATATAGGCCCCGCACTGAAGTGTTTTTTTATTTTGATTTTCTTTTTTAAATTGTTATTGTAAAGGTGATCTACAGAGGGGTTACAGTTATATAAGTTAGGTAAAGAGTACATTTCTTCCATTAATCTTTCCTCTTGGCTCCTTGTCAGCTCCTTCCAGCATTCTACTGACTCCTCCCTATTCCTTTCTCCCTTCTCTGTCTTTATGTAAATTAGACTAGGGACAGATGTGTGTTTACCTAATGAAATTACCACTGAAACTCTGCCAATTAACATCTCTTTACTGCAGGACCAGAATAATTTCTTATTCACAAATCTGGCAACACTCTATGGCCTTGCTCTTCCTAGCCAAATCCCCACAATGTCTCCCATCCATAGACATCTTCACTCACTCCTTGCTGGTATGAAATCTTCTATAAAACCAATTTCACATGAGTCTCCTCTAGTAGGAACTGTTAGCCAGTGACCTTGCCTCAAACCACACCCCCACACACACACACACACCTCCCCCCCCCCCACACAAAGACAATTATAAGTCATCATATTTTCCCAGATTACTGGGGAAAGAAAACAAATCTTTTCATGTTGTATCAGATTTGGCATGCAGCAGATTCATGGGATGTGGCATTGGGGAGCAGGCATGGGGGGAAGGGAAAGGGGACAGAGGAGAAGGGGGGAGGCAGGAAGGGAGGATGGGAAGTGATGCATGAACAGATGTGTGTGTGTGTGTGTGTGAAAAGCGTGTTGACACACATGTGTGAATGTGGCTAAAGGAAGTGGCAGAGGAGTGCGTATGTTGGGAGATGGGCCTTTTGTGGAGGCAGACAGGGCACACCTTAGAAAGGAAGGGATAATGTGAACTATCCATGCATCGAATATGCTGGATCAGTACTAGCCAGGGCCTCCTATGTTTATCAGCAGATAGGGTTCGTAGATGTTTCATTGCATTGTCCTTGTTCCTTTGACTGACGTCAATTTCTCTTGTTTTACCTAACTTAAGTCATCATGTGTTCTCAGGTAAGAAACAATCCATCTTTTCCAAGACAGGTAATTTCTTTGAAGGTAATTCTAGGCAAAACTCAGAGCCAGGGGTCCATGGAACTCTACACTGCCCCCCAAAAGATGAATGAAGAATTACACCTGGGCCTTTAAAAAAATTTTTTGCAACAAGAAGATGGGGAGGGGGTGGTAAGAACTGAGGATGCAGATGAGGTAAGCCTCTAGCAAAAAAAAAAAAAAAGAAAATCGTCACAGAAACTCACTCTTCTCAAAGAAAAAGACATGAGTAGATCATTGAGTTGATTTGTCTCAAAATGGCCAACAGTGGCTAGGTAAAGGAAATGGGACTAACCATCTTCCAGGTTAAACAGCAGGTCAAGGTGTTCTCTGTGAAGTTTAACATCCCTAAGAGAGTTCCTTTAGGTACACACAGACAGAAACATTCTTCTACTCAGGCAATGGTAAGAAAAAATGTTTTACAGGCAACTTATTCCTCTTCCATGGTGAAAGTGAAACATGCAGGCTCCAATTTTTATCTTACCCAATTAAATGTTTCAAAACGAAAAAGCAGTGGATGTTAAAGCCACAAATGATCAGAAGAGTCCCCTTTATAGTTGACAAAGTGAGGCCTAGAAGGGTCACGACAACAGCTTGTTAGTAGCTAGAGGGGAGGGCAGAACTCTTGGTCTCTCAACATCCACACTGTAGGAATTCATTTAAAAAGAGCCAACAAGAAAATGTCAATAACAAAAATCAATGAGCCAACATTTTCTGATTTCTGGGACAGCTAAATACCTTCTGTGGGCTTCATGCATGCAGTGCACATACACCTAAGTATGTGCTTGTCCACATCTATCACTAAGTAGAGTTGTTAGCTTGAATGGAGACACCTACATTATCCTTCAAAGGACAGATAAGCTAGATTGGATTATTACCAATACACTATCAGGAAAGAAATCTGAATGGAGTACAGCTGGCAGGAAAGCAGAAGAACTGAATCTTCCTTTTGTTTGGCAAGACCACCAAATCCCAAGCAAAAAAATTGTCACAATTCTTTTGTCATCTAAAGCTGGGTGCCAGTGGCTCATGACTAAAATCCTAGCTACTCAGGAGGCTGAGATATGAGAATCAGAATTCAAAGCTTGTCTAGGCAGAAAAGTCCATGGGACTCTTACCTCCAATAAACTACTCAGAAAAAGCCAGAAGTGGCACTGTGGCTTAAGTGGAAGAGTGCTAGGCTTGAGCACAAAGAGGCTCAGGGACAGCACCCAGGCCCTGAGTTCAAGTCCCAGGACTGGTAAAAAATAAAGAGTTGTCATCTGGCTTTATGCTCCACTGGGCAGTAATTCTGCCACTTTGTCACATGATCCAATT